TCCAAGCAGGGGCAAAGCAAGAGAATTCTGCCTTAGCACCAGCAAAGAGATCCCTGCAATCCACCTCTGATCAGCTGCTGGATCCCCCTACCGTCTGTGGGCCAAGATCTCTGGAAGCAGCTGCCACCCCAGGGCAACACAAGGACTGGGGCCGGACCGTGATCCTCACTCACTGAGATCCCACAGACCTTTCTTGCTGATCTTCTAAGTTGTCTTTGGTGTTTGTGGGTTGAGAAGTCTGGGAACTGCGACAGCTCCTGGTGATTCAGTCCACTGAGGCCTGCTCCAGGTATCACTGAGGCTGGCTCTTTGCATGCCCATGCTGAACTGCATTCCTCTCCCAGCCTGGCGCAACAGATCTTTCCCATTAACCATCCAGGTTGTCTTGGGCTGAAAATTTGCTTCACTCTGTCTTTTTGTGGATTCTGCTACTCTAGGATTTGTTTAGAGCCATGTTTTATGGGTGTTTGGAGGGGTTTGGGGGAGAGCTCAAGCAAATCACTGCTTCTACTCCACCATCTTGGCTCCACCCCCCTTCACTTCCATTTCTTAGCTTCTCTAGCTTTCTTCAAGACTCAGCTTAAATCTGGCCTTCTTCAGGAGTTCTGTCCCAGGTCCACAAGCTTCTAGTGCCATTCCCTCTGAAATTACCATCCATCTAGTTGTCTCCTTCATCAGGCTTCCTTCCTTGAAGGCAGAAACTGTTTTCCTTTTCTTTTTTTGAGTCCCCAGTGATTTGCACAGTTCCTGGTACATAGTATGCCTTAAGAAATGCCTGTTGAATGACTCACTGATGAATATATTATATAGTTTATAAGATAAGATAATTATCCTCTTCCTGGTACAGGTCTGGGGGGATGATTGAAGGGCTTTATTGGAATGGAATTCTGTGGAGATGTTTATAGAAATGGAATGCTTTGGTGTGGTGTAGAATCCTTTGGCTAAAAGAAATATTTTGTCTATGGGGAGCCCTCTTCTTAGAAGAAATACTTTGAATTCCATACCTTGGCTGGCCTCATTATCTTCAAGAAAGTCTAAAATTACAGTTGGGTGGTGGTTGTAATGAATGAAAAAATCTTTTATCCTTATTGGTAATATATGTGAGGAGCTATATTTTTAAACGAGAGTTATTATTAGTGGTTGTAATAGTAGTAGTAATACACCTGCTCTCCCTAGAGAAGGCTTCATGGGCAGTAGAATGGGCCAGTAGCAGGGTAAGTTATCAAAGAGCAGAATGTTTTAGTGGAAAGAACACTGTATTCTAGAATCAGAGGATCTGGGTTCTAATCATATCATTGTCTAAATTTATGATCTGGGTTCATATTTTGCCTTTGACATTTATTGCCTTTTTGACCTTGGGCAAATCACTTAACTTTCCTGGGTCTCATTTTCCTTATTTGCAAAATGGAGAATATGTGGGTATGGAGTTGTAGTAGATAGCTTCTCAGGTACATTTTGACTTTAGGACTATAATCCTATGGTTAAAATTTAGAGTGAATGAATAGGACATAATGATAATATCCAGAAGAAACAAGTTGAATCTGTTTAAGGTACCAAAATTATATTTGAGGAAGGGAAGCTAATACTAGGTGTTTGCCAGGCAAGTTGACAGCTATAAATACTTTGAAAACTCAGAGGATCATAGCTTAGACAAATGTCCTTTAGAAGTTGTTGTGATAAATATATATAGCATTTAATCAGGAAGGTGTTTGTAATTCTGGGGGGAAAAAAAAGATCGAGGTTCACACTTGGCCAAGTCAGGTTTTTCTTCCTCCTTCCCATCTCCCTCTCCACCCCAATTAATAAGTTTTCATTTTTTCTCCCTCCCTCTTCTCCACTAAAAAAAGAAAACAACCTTTTAACAAATATGCATAGTCAAGCCATATTGATCATGTCTAAAAATGTGTGTCTCATTCTGCATATTTAGTCTGTCATTTTTCTGTGATGAGGTGGTGGGTGGGTAGCATTTATCATCATCAGCCCTCTTGAATTATGGTTAATTTTTGCATTGATTAGAATTCTTAAGTCTTTCAAAATTGTTCATTTTTACAATGTTGTTGTTATAGTGTAAATTATTTTTCCTGTTCTGCTCACTTCATTTTACATCAATTCTTAGAAGTTTTCCTAAGTGTGTTTGAAATTGCCCCTTTCATAATTTTTACATCGCAGTAGTATTACTTTTATATTATATTCACAAACCACAATTTGCTTAGCCATTTTTAAGTTGCTAGGCACCTCCTTAGTTTCTAGTTCTTTGACATCACAGAGCTGCTGTATTTTTGTACATTTAAGACCTCTTCCTCTTTCTTTGATCTCTTTGATCTTTCTCCTTTCTTATGGAATTCAGTAACTGGCTTTTATATACCTGACTTCAGTATTGATGTGCCAGACCCTCCAAGTTCATCAGCCTTGACCTTCCATGCCTGCGTCTACATTTCCCCTCAGTCATCCACAGGCATAATCACAATTTCTACCCATCCCTCTTCTTAAACTGTGCCAGCCTGTGGTCTTCAATGTTTAAATTGCTTTCTTTGTTCACAATTGCTTGTCTTTACATCTTTCTTTCTGCCTCTCTCCTAAGCCTATCCTTTGTCCTTCATTTCCCCCATCCTCTCTGTTCTTCCAGACTATCACCCCCTGTCCTGGTCTTGCTTCCCTTCCTCTACTATTTTGACCTGATATTTAACCAATTCATCTTTGTACTCTCTTCCACTCTTTAATCCCTTGACCTCTTGTTTTTGACCCATTCACACTTTATTAATCCTCAGTGTTAAGTCACAGTTGGCACCTTTGACTTTTTCTTTCCCTACTCCCAAGCTGCTGAAGCAGTGTGGAAAAATTAATGCAACCGTTTTGTGTCCAATACACATTTATGTATTCTCAAATGGACTCATCACTATTGCATAAGCAATCTTTTTATTTTTCCCTTATTGAGTCAATCACTCCCTTCCCCACCCCTCATCCCCAGTGACTCTTCCAAATCTTTTCCTCTCTCCTCAAGCTTCTCTGTCCTCCCACCCATGGCAGATGACTTTGCTTCCTACTTTACTGGGAAAATTGAAGCCATCCATCATGAATTTCTTCATTTTCTCTGCTCCACACCTCAACACCCCTGTAATTTTCATACATTGTGTTCTTTCCGCTAGTCTTTGGGGATGTGTTCCTTCTTTTTGCTAACGTTTACTCCTCTTGTGCCCTTAATTTTAATCTTCTGTCATTTCTTGTGATGTCCCTTTGATCATCTTCTCTCTCATTTTTTGTCTCTTCCTGTGTACTAACTCCTTCCCCTTTGACTACACAAACATTCTCAGGTCTCCCCCACCATTAAAAACCTTCATTTAACTCTGCCATCTTCTCAACAATCATCTTCTATTTCTTCTTCCTTTCCCTGAAAACCCTTTCTGTCTCCACTGCCTCCCTGCCCACCTACTCACTTCTCAACTGATTGTAATCTGATTTTCGAACTAACTGTTCAGTTGAAGTTGGTCTCTCAAAGGTTACTAGCGATTTTTTTATCCACTAAATTTGATGACCTTTTCTCAGTCCTTATCCTCCATGACCTTGCCACAGCTTTGACACTGCTGAACACCTCCCTTTTTCTGGATATTCTTACCTACCTTAGTATTTGTGACACTGTTATCTCTTGATTCTTCTCATACCAGTCTGATTGCTCCTTCTCAGTTTCAGCATAGGGGTCAGGGAGAATGAGGAGTCAATGATGACACCAAGGTTTTCAACCTGTATAATTGGAAGAGTGGTGGTGCTTTCAACAGAAAGTGAAAAAAGTTACAAAGAGAGATAGATTTATAGGGAAAGATCATGGGAAAACAGATCAAGAATTGAAAGGGATCTCACATGTCATCTGGTCTACTCCCCCATTTTACAGTTGTAGAAATAGAGGCCTAAGGAGGTTGTTATATGCCTAAGATTATGTAGGTAATAATTGTCAGAAGTGGGATTTGAACCCAGGTACTTTGACTCTGGAGATAATCAGTTGCTTTGTAGATATTTAGTTTGAGATGCATATGCTATATCTTTCCTTCTAAACCTGCTCCTCTTTCAAGCTTTCTTATTTCTCTTGATGGTGCACTATTCTCCAGCTCACCCTGGTTTATAATTTCCTTGACTCTTCTGTCTCCCTTGCTCCACATCCAATCAGTTGTCTATATTTGTTGGTTATACCTACATGATATTTTGCATCCATTCTCTTATACTCCCCCTCACAAGGTGACTGCTTCCTTACTTGAGGCTCTCACCACTTCTCGACTAATGTAATAATCTTCCTGTTTCTTGTCACTTCCCTTTCTAATTCATCCTTTACAGAGCTTTCTTAGACATACATCTAACCATGTGACTCCTCTGTTCAAAGACCTTCACTGCTCCCTTTTGTCTCTAGAAGAAAATGCAAATGATTCTGTCTGGAATTTAAGGCCTTCTCCAATCCCACTCCAACCCATCATTCTAACCTTATTTTATATTATTCCTTTTGAGCCAACTGTGTTCCAGCCCAACTGATTTACTAGCTGGGCCCCAAACCCAGCAATCTACTTCTAACTCTTCTCTGTTCTCGTGGGCTGCCCCTCATCCATGAAATCCCCTCCCTCCTCATTTCTTTCTCTTTTATTTTTCTAGGTTCACTTCATCCATGACTTCCCTACTCCATCCCTAGTTGTTATGTGCTGCTTTTTGATAACTACGTGTTTTTCTGTATAGATGTTGTACACTTCCCATCAGTCTGTGTCTAGGGGGATTTGTCTTTTTATCTCCAGTACTTTGCACACAGCAGGTTCTTAATAGACACTCAAATTTAATTGTCTGAATTGAAAGAGAAAAGGCAAAGAACCACTGCCTTTTAGGTTTAAGATAAGCATTCCATTGAATTACTTGCAAACATTCAGGTATTCCAGTGGAACTATCTGTAATAGCATGGCAAGATTAAAATAATCCATTATTTTTAAAATTCATTAACTCTTTTACATGTGTTTTTTTTTTTTAAATAGGGGGTCTGGATCTCATCTTCATGCCAGGTCTTGGATTTGACATACAGGGCAACCGCCTGGGAAGGGGGAAGGGATACTATGACACCTACCTGAAGCAGTGCTTGCAGCACCAAGAAAGAAAGCCTTATACGATTGCTTTGGCTTTCAAAGAGCAGATCTGTGGTGCAGTGCCAGTCGGAGAAAATGATATGAAAATAGATGAAGTGCTCTATGAAGACAAATAAACTTTGTGGTTCCCAGTGACAACTCTGTGGAATGATTTGGGTTTTGTACTCAAGTAAAACCAAATGAATTTATTTTCTCCTATCTAAAAATCATTTGCAACTCTGCTTTTGTATTACTAAGAACTGAATTGACTTTGGCATAATAAGAAAGGGTTTAGTATAAAATATTAGTTAAAAATCTTTAGCAATGTGGATAATAGAGTATTAGTAAAAGTGAACATTGCATTTAGTGATTTTTCTTCCTAATTTCCTGGTATTAAAATGACAATTTTATATCTCCTTTGAAATGTAAATTATGAATGAGATTCTGTGGTCCATCTTGCATGGTGAAGGGAATTTAAACTCATTTAGAACAAGGATTTTACTGTTTTCTAATATGTCCTTTAATGGCTGTGCTTCAATCCCTAGGACACATAGGAAGATTTGATAAATATTAATTGCTTTGTTGATGTTTGTTTCTGGTTCATACTTTAGAGAGGGCAAATAGTACTCATTGTGACTTTATTAATCCTTTTCTTTGTTCACCCAGCCTGAAATTTGGGTTAAACACTTCATAGCTTTTGTGGGCTAAAGTGATGTAGGATACAGCAGAAATTGCTCCTTGGTTTTGCAGCTTAATGCTATAATTCACCACGATTAGTCCCTAAATGCTTCATTATGGGAAAACTACCTGTTAGTATCCCTAGATTCTAATGCCAAATTCTGATGTTATATCTATTATAAACTCAGCTCCATTTATTTGGGGTTTCTGACTTGAAAATAAAATTTGCCTTAGGTTGTAAGTTGGCTGACGACATTTCACCTGGGGAAAAATATCTTTTTCAGTTGTGCTAATAAATTAAAAGTAGCATTATTTAAATAATTTGTTCATAATTGCTTACAGGATTGTATGTGATTTGCAACTTCATGTAAAAGTAGACATGTTGCAAAGAAAGTTAAGTAGGCCACAAAGAATGAAGGCAGAAGTAACAATGCTATGAACAAGGTGAGAGGGGTGGGATAGGGGAACTACCTCTGAGCTGTAAGGACAAATATTATGTTGGTTAAAAAAAAAAGTGATTCAATACTATTTGTTATTTTGAATTATTTATACTATAAATATTCATATTAAATAAACTGTGATTAAAAATTTTGTTATTGATGCTTTTTCATAATTAACACATTGTCATATAACTTTTTGCTGTAGATTGAATCTGGATTTTTTTGTTGCATTAATCTTGGATGTTTTTGGGGGGTACGTGAATGGAGGTTTTTTTTTCATGAAACCATGACTGTATTATTTATTGCTTACATTAAAAAAAATGTAACCAAACATTTTAATTTCAAAGCTCTCTTGTGTGTCTGTGTCTTCGTCTGAACCTCTCTCTGTTTCCTTTTGTATTTTTAATGCTGCATGGCCATTTTTTCTTTTCTTTTTTTTGTCATCTATATCACTAGTTTCTCCCAATTTTCCTCCAAATTAAAAACAACAACAACGACAACAACCACCATTTCTTGTATTCCATGTAAATAAAAACAGTAAAGCAAAACAAATCTACACTCCAGCACTTCATACAGTGACTGGCACATATTAGGCACTTATTAAATGCTTATTCACTGACTGACTGACTTTTGCTATATTAGAAAATATATTTTGGAGTCTGCCTCTTGATCCTCTCACATAGTAGGTAACAAGGTTCATCAGTGTTCTGATATAATGAAAAGTCACTGTATTAATTGAATTCTTAAGTCTTTCAAAGTTGATTTTTTAAAAAAATGTTATTATTATATAAATTGTTCTTATAGTTGTATTTACTTCACTTTGCATCAATTAATATAGTTTTCAGGTTAATATGAATCAATTCTTTTCATAATTTTTATGCTATAATAATATTTTATTACATTCATACACCATACTTTATTAAGCCATTACCTAGTTGATGGCTACCCTTAGTTTACCGTTCTTTTCTACAACAAGATAAGGCTGCTATAAATATTTTTTGTACATATGGGACATTTCTGTCTTTGATCTCTTGGAGCTTTACATACCTAGAAATGGAATTACTAGATCAAAGGAATGTACAGTTTGGTATCTTTTTGAAGTAGAGTTCCAAATTACTTTCCAAAATGGCTGGACCAATTCACAGCTTTACCAACAGGGCATTAGTGTGCCTTTCCCAGTTCCTCCAACAATTGTTATTTTTCATTTTTGTCATCTTTGGCAACCTGATATGTTTGAGGTAGAATCATAGGGTCATTTTAATTTATATTTTTATTATTATTTGGAGGATTTTTTATATGAATATTGATAGCTTAGATTTCTTCCTTTGAGAACTTCTTATTTATATACTTTTACCATTACCTATTGGGAAATAACTCATGTTACCTTGATTTTGAGAAGTCAATATAATTTACCAGTACTTTTCTTATATGAACCAAACCCCCCATGATTGTAGATGTGCATAGTTTTTCTTCTGTTATAATCAACTTAAAAGTTGTTATCTTTAATGTAGTAGGTGATACTAATTATAACCTCTTTGTTTATATTTTTATGTGCACAATCTTCGTCTGCCAAGCTGGGGCTCATCTGTGTAGTACAAATATCGATGGATTTTTAGAGTACTAGTGTCAGAAGTTTAGGGTTTGTGGTAGAAATTCTAGAATGGATCATTATAGAGATAGTTAATGTACAACTAGAAAACAAAATGGTGATTTCAAGGAAATTAGCATGGTATCATCAAGAGCAGGTCATAACAGACTAGCTTTATTTACTTTTTTTGGACAGGATTTATAAACTGGCAGGTCAGAGAATGTTGTCAATAGATTATATAGATTTTGACAAAGCATTTGATGATGATAATAATAATAATAATGAAGATGGCTAGTGTTTATGTAATGCTTTAAGGTTTACAATGCAAACCTGGTTCTCCCGGAGTCAGCCGGTAAATGGCTGAGCCAGGATATGAACTCAGATCTTCCTTTTTCCAAAGCCAGCAATCTATACACTATACCACAGGTATCAAACTTGCTGGCTGGAGATGTGGCCTGAATTAGCTTAAAATGTAGTTGACAAATCTTTAAAAAAAATAAAAACACAGTGTACTGTGGCTTTATTAGCATCTGTCCTGCCTGCTTCTTGCTAGGAGGCTCAAATGAAATAATGTATAAGGAAGCAATGATAATGTGATAATCTCTTGGATTCTATACAGCTGCAAGAGATTATCACAGCCATGTATTAATGGTACTTTGTTACTTATCACTGTCATGTGGTGGGACATGTCTCCCTGGCCTTCACTTTCTTAATCTGTAAAATAAGGGGTTAAGGTAGATGATCTTTCAGGTCTAATACTGTAATTCAGTGTTTAAGCACTCAGTACATTGCCTTGTATATAATAGGTTAAATAACTGGTTAAAACTTAGATTCACTAAGCTGCATAAGTCCTGTGCATCTCACTGACAGATATGGTGATGTGCATTATGCACATAGTAGGTATTCAGTAAACAATGCTTGAGTGGTTGGATGAAGTAGATGAGAGACATGATTTGACCTCTGGTATCATCAAATCTCATATGGTTCCCCGGTGGAAGGAGTGCTGGATTTAGAACCCAAAAGACCTAGGTTCAAAATCTGTCCTTGTCACTGCTTATGTGACTTTGGGCAAGTTACTTTACCTTAACCTCAGTTTCCTTACCTGTAAAATGAATGCAGGTAGGGAAGGAGAGGACTAAATAATCTTTATGGTCCCTCAACTTATGATCCTATCATCTTATGAATGACAATGTTCATTATATCAATGCTTTATTTTATAGGAAGAGTTAGGTGTCTTGGTGGGGCAAGGTAACTGTCAATATTTAAAAGTAATTTCATGAAATAGTGAGTCCTTCCTCATTTGTCTGGTGTAGCAAACAGTATTAGTGGTACAGAACTCTAGGTGCTGTATCCTTAGTGAAATTATGACTCCCACTGGGGATTAGTGGTATTTTTTTAATGCTGAAATGAAAAGATATACAATATGCTGTATATGCAGAATGAATACATCAGAGGAAAATATTGTATCTAGTTTTTTTGCCTATGGAAGATGGATGATAAATCAACCTTTATAATCTCTAGCTGACAGTTTAATTTGCTTTTTAATGTTATACTGATCTTTTGGAGATGCAGGAAATTCACATAAAGCAAGTTGCTTGATGAACTTTAATCTTATCCATAATTGGATAATAAAACTGAGTATGTACAGTAATTAAAAGTATTGTGACAAAAGACACAATTTGCAATTTCATATGTAGCCATTTCTGAAAATTGTTAAGTTCAGCTCAGGTCATGTACTTGTGACACTTTTAAAAAAAGGTAATAGTGCTTATGAAATGAGATTCAGTATCAGTGATGTCCCTGGAATCAGGACAGATTTTAAAGACTATGCCTAACTAAGCCAACTATCAAAGAAGAATAAAAGGACTTGCTTTTGGAGATGTTTTCTAGGCTACCAGGGAAATAGTCTATTGCTGTCTTTTTCACACAAACATTTCTGCACATTTTGCACAAATAACCTAGTGGAGCCTAGAAAGAATGTGAGTTTGACAGTCCAATCTCTACCTTTTGGCCTCTCTAGTAACTTATCACTACTGTAGCCAGTCTTCATAGATCCCAGTCCTCTCCTGCTCCACTTTGGTTACCCCAACCCCATTACCCCAGTTTTCCTCCTCCCTCAGAGCCCCAGGTGCCAGTGCACACTACATGGCTCTCCTATCTCCTACCCCTCCAGATTTAACCCTGCAGATACCCCACGACCATGGTAAATCACAGTGCTATCTATCCTTTTGGTTTGCCTGAACCCTTTCCACCAACCCATTCAATCCCATTGCCAATCTCGACTAAAAAATGTGACTTCGTCTGTGGGCCTGGCATAGTTTTGCCATGCCTCATTTCTTTGGTCTCAGCCCCAGATCTGTCCTTGGCTTCCTTCCAAATCCCCCTAAGATGCAGGCTGCCTCTATGCTAACCTGCCTAAAGTAGTTAAAGTTGTTGTTCTGTCCCCAGAAGCAACATTTCCCCTTATCTGCATGCATTTAGGTACCAACAAATAGCTTCCTGTTCCACAGCACTAGCAAGAGGCCAGTAGTTTTTAATTTCTGATTAGAATGTCTGCCCCAGGACTTTGACCCATTACAGAAAAGGATAGTTAAAATTCAAGCAGCACTAGAATGGGAAGCAAATGTTTGGGAGAGGTAATACATGGCACAGCCAGCCATATATCTGAACATATCAAATACAACCAAACTGTCTCCAGTTGGATTC